ATATGTATATATATAATATGTATATATATGTATATACATATATATGTAAGATATATATATATATATATATATATGTATATATATATATTATATGTATATTGTTCACATATATCAATTGGTTTAACAGTTTTATTTTGCGTTTTATTGAATGTTTGCAAAGCATTTTTACAAAACATTGAATTATTAACATATTTTAAAACATTAATTTACTACGAGAGTTCGAATTAAACTTTAACGAGTATATTGTTTCAAAAAATGTTTAAAAGAATCAATAAAATATTCGATACATAATATCTAAGATATTTTAAACAGCAATAACATAAATCTTTTGTCTCAATTTAGGAATCGAATACCCAATTAATGAGATTGACATAGATATTCATGTATTTTGGAGCAAGCAAAAAGAACAACGACACTATATTGCACTTTCGAAACAATATTCCCATGAATATATTTAATAATAAATTTTGAGCATAACATTTTAACGGTCTGTATATTAGGTTTTGAATCGGGTAGGGTTACGGATGTAAGTGTATTGGATGCGCATGATAATACAGGAAATTGTAACAATGGGAAAAAAACATGTCAATATTCTTTTTGATGTACCGCGTAGTCGAGTCAAAACGTCTCTTCTTTTCCTGTTAGGTTACCGCCTTCGTATTGTTAGATTCTGGAACTGTCTGGTGGTGATTTTTCCAGTACACTTGTTATACTGCGTTCTTTAACGTGCACTTGCGTTATACTGCACACGTGGACTAATGGCTTAAACCTCTCATCTTAATAATACGGTGCGATAAACTTGCGTTTAATCAGCCCTCCAGCTGGGAATTGAACCAAGAGTCCATGGTACTTATCGATTGTACAAGAAGTGAAATCCCTATCTTTTGCGAAACTTAAAAAGGGCTGCGGACCTACAACAATGATTAGGCCTGCTGTGCTTGAGTAAACCCAGAAAGAACACAAAACATTATTACTTTCTTTTCAATCTCCCAACAATTAAACAATTGCAAAACAAATATGTTGTTGATCAGGGGCTTTGGTGTATAAGCAAACTTAAAAGAATGTTCATCACGTGCATATCCAAAAGATTCACGAAATCCGTGACAGTTGTAGTTGGTTATTCTAACGTTCTTGTAACGTTTGCGACATCACTTAGCTGACATTTACGTTAAAGTACGTATTAAATATACGTTTTTAACACCGTAATCTAACGATTTTATAACGTTACGTAAAGTGGTTAGCTCGAAAGATTGTTCAATCTGTTTTTTATTTTTATTTTTTTTGTAGCCTACGTCAGTGGCGTTTCTATAAAGTATCCGACTGTTATTAGTATTGGCCTATTAAACGTTGATTGCTATTGAATGTTTCGCCTATCATGGATCATTAGGATTTAATAGTATTAATGGATTGTCAATACGCTAGTGACATATTAGGTTTATCTACTGAATTTATATTTGTGATAGATATATGCTGAATCTGTGCCGTCACATCCTGCTCTCTCTACGGCTCCACTTCTTAAGAAATGGATCGTGCATAACTGGGCCGTGTGGGAGAATAATAAACAGGTCACGAAGGGTAGACAATAAATACATAAAATAAAAATTATATCTAAATCTATCTGTATCTACATTTGACTGTTCCCGCTCCACAGTCCGTTGAAAAGCATTTTCATGACTTTTCTATTATAAGACTGTTTCGTGTGTTTACGGCGTTGAATCTTGAAAATAGATTGAATAAAGAGTATCATATTTAGGCGCTCACAAATGATCTATTGAGGTCATAGTGCGGCTTATTATGGAGGTTTGATATAATTGTTCGTGGGCACCCCCGTTTGCGACCATAACTCTATAATTTCCTGTCGCGTGCTCCTTGTTCGTTTAAATTATGTAGTATTGGGAATGCATACAACGCGTCCATAACTGTATTGTATTGATATATTTAGGCTTATTACGCCACGGCAGAACGCAGAATAATGTCTATTCAACTTAAATGTTAAATGATATTATTTGTTGTGGTTCTAGATAATTCAAGTCAGGTGTTATTTCAAAGTTTTTTCTTGTATTGGTGATCGAACACGAGCTATGAAACGTGCGTCTTACACGACATACCATTTTATTATTTACAAAAAAAATATTTAAATGCTTTTTTTTTTTAAAGATTTGAAATGAATCATACTGTCATCATGGGTCGTCAATATAATATAGATGACACACACTTGGCTAAAAATTAACTTAGGAAGTGTTTGTAGGCTATTTGGCTAAAAATAATCTAGGAAGTGTTTTTAGGCTGTAGCCTAAGTAGGGATTAGGTGCCGATTTTCTTTTTTTTTACAAACGATATATTCATGAGGATCAAAGTATTGCATTTTCAATGGATCTAATATCTTTATCGTGCAAACAGCACTGTTATTTATAATCTAGATCAAACTTGCCATTCAAGAAGCCCACGCACAAAGATGAGAAATGGAGTCCGACATAACGCAACGTTGTTGTTACGCATAACATTTGGCCCATTAATATATCACCTACTACCGGGGCATCTTACCATATCATTGATAATCGTTTTGAACATGCCCATCTATCGTCCAGCCCTCACGGTATGTTGCCGGCGTCAACCACTAACGTATTATTGAAATGCCTGAAATAATTTATTGTATGCATAAATAGAATGAAAAATATCGGAACACAGACCAGACTCAGTGTGTGTCGTGTAATTTGAATGATGTGCTTAAGATTCAAGTCACATGAAGAGAGTAAGTGTGATGAAAAAAAACGAATAAAAGTACGAAGAGTGTGAGTACTTTTGATTGTAGATAGATCTAATTACTTCATTGTTCATTACTGCACAACAAGGGAAATTATTATATCGAATTGTAAATATTACATGATTTTCTTACTAGAACTAGAATCTAGATGGTGAATCTTATCAAACATGGTCAGATAAAACAAAACTAAAATGTTAAAGAATGACATTACGAAAATATTTACCTGTTGTGTAATAATACAATGAAACACGCCAACAATATATTTTAAAATCGTTCGGAGGTTTTAAGAAAGTCGTATAATAACCTGTCTAAAATATATTTAAGTTAGCAGGGACGGAATAACATATTATTTATAGATTCGTTTGAAACAAATTTGTAATATTTGTTTACAATCAGGCTAAAAATACAAAGAGTTTTGAGAGGGTATAGGCCCATCACTCGTGCTTAGTATAAAGCATGTGGGAAATAAATTTAGGAAAATTTGTAAATGTTTTCGATAATTTAGTTTACATCAAGTATGAAGAAAGGGTCAACATTTGAGTGAGCCTGGGCTAAGTAATGTGTGGAAACACTGCCACCTGTCGGTTTGTTTTGGTGTTACACTCACCAACTCTGGTTTTTCATAAATTATGCCTATTACCGTATTCAAATATGTTCATATTTCCCAAGAGACAATCAATGGTAAAAGTGTTTCCTCTTTCAAATTCTGTTTTCTTGAGTCGTGTTTTGATGTGTCGGGTAGATGGTACTGTTTAACTCTGTTCATGGCTTCAATGCATGGTAATTATTATTATTATTATTATTATTATTATTATTATTATTATTATTATTATTATTATTATTATTATTATTATTATTATTATTAATTAATATTATTATTTGTGCTTGCATAGCGCATACTGCAAGAACCTCTCTGTACTTTCCAGAAAATAATAACAGGGCAATTAAAAGGCTATTCAAAGTCAAAAAGAAGAAAAAGACGGGAAAAAAAAGAACACTAATCAAAAATGTTGGCGAAAGAGAAATGTCATGAGAATGGAAACGACCAAAGGAACAGTTCGAACATCCATGGAAGTTTATTCCAGAGATATTGAGCAGAGTATTGTCGCAGCTAGTAGGACTTGGGATGAAGATCTAAGTCGTCTGTTTGGAACATATTTGCTGAATGATGCAGATAATTAACCAGGAGCCGAACCATGAACGACTTTATATGCAATGACAAGAGCCTTAAAAATAAAATTTGAATTCACCGGGAGCCAATGAAATTGCTTGAGAATAGGTGATGTGCGCTCTAGGTGCACAAACAACAAGTCTCGCAGCAACGTTTTAAACATGTTGGAGTTTCTTCAACTGAAACCTGTGGAATGCCAAAAAGCTGTGAATTGCAATACAGCCGATCCTGGTATTGAATATATTTATGTTAGAGTAGAAACATAATTGTTCTCCCTTAAGTTCCAGTTATGCGTTGTGAAATAGGTCTCATAATGAAGCATGGGGAGTGGATGATTTTGAGCATCTTAGTCGTGAGAAAAAATTCTGCTGTCACAAGGTTTGAACCTACTGACTTTTGAATTGGAAGCAATGGCATCTTAACCACCTAACCTTTCAGCAGTTCAATTTGGTATAGGCCTATATCATTGAGCAAAATACATGTATTGGATAATGGGTCTGTCTCTCTGTTCACGTGTCTCTCATTCCACACAGGAGTCATTTTTTAAATGTATTTTTTTTTGTGTTTAATATTAGAAACCCAATAACGTATAGCAAATCTTGAGGATAGATGAGAATTCAGACAGCTGTTATAGAGGCTATAAATAATATACTACGGTATCACTATTATTATCAGAGATCATCCATTGTCGACCCAATAATGTAGGCGATATTGACGCCTGAAGAAAACTCTTCCCCACCAGCAGTGCCTAATGGCGACCTTCTATATTAAGAAGACAACCAATAAATCATAGGCCAAGCTATTTAAATGTATGTATTACATGTGCTTTTCAAAGAAGAAACCCTATTGTTAAATATTACACAATCGCTGACGTGTTTGTGTTCAGATTTTGTAAATTCCATGACGATTATAGTTTTAGTTTATGGTCTGTCTCTTATACACATCTAGATGTGTATAAGAGACAGATATAATATAGATGACACACACTTGGCTAAAAATTAACTTAGGAAGTGTTTGTAGGCTATTTGGCTAAAAATAATCTAGGAAGTGTTTTTAGGCTATAGCCTTAGTAGGGATTAGGTGCCGATTTTCTTTTTTTTTTACAAACGATATATTCATGAGGATCAAAGTATTGCATTTTCGGAGATAAACGTGTCCTTTACCTAGAATTCAAAGGATTTATGTGAGAATCTTTATGTACGTATTATAGAACTCAAATGACGAGAATATATAGAATCTGGGTCAAAGCTTATTTAATTGATACAACACTAAATATTTATTAACGTTTTTGTTGTATTACGGATCCATACCTCTACAATAAAATGATATAATACAGGTATTAAGCTTTATCGTTTTCTTATGTAGGCGTACATTAAGCATACATGATGTAGTAGGATATATATATAATGTTTTACTCATAATCCGTTGTGAAAATCCTACAATTAACATTCTGATAGCTATACAACTTGGCATTTGATGGTACTCTAACGCTGGAGGAGAAACAATTGATCGTGCCAGTTTAGCTTTATTACCTACTTATAACCTTTATACATTTTATTGTTAAATATTGTACATAATAATTTATATAAACACTTGTTGATCATCGTGTTTTTTAGGTAGGCCAGTCAGAGTAGCAATAAAACAATTTGCGAACGATGAGGTTAGGTTATGTCAGATAATAACTTTAACATGTTTGCGACGTTTTTAGTCTGAAATTAGAAACCCGTATTTATGGCTATACAAAGAAAAACTACAACGTTATCATAACGTAAAATTGTTAGCTTCGATCATCCTACGCACAAAAACATCAGGCAATTTAATGTTTGTGAGAAATGTAAAATAATGTGCGTTTTTGTCAAAGCCCTAAATCGTGTTTTAGTTTTGGCTTTATGATGAATGAATGGTTGGCTTTAATGGAAACAGCATATTTAAAAAGACATTATTAGCAACAATGATAACAGTACGTTTATCCTAAGAATGTTAAAATGCGTTTTCCGCTTGTCAACTGTCGTTTGAAAATCTCAACACTTTCACAAAATAAAATATATTCCACGTGTGATTACATTTTCTGCGATTCATAAGAAAAAGTTTTGCATATTAGAGATGATAATTTTATATTTAAAATAAATTTGGTTAATTAATAATAAATTCTTGTTTCATTACTTGTATGAATAAGCCGGATTTTATATTGGTTTTATAATTGGAAGACCTTGTTGTGAATACTACAACTAAAATTTGTATAACATTTCTGCCCTGTTTCTTATCCACAGTGCGATATGGCAATCGGGATGAGAAGCTTCTTTGAGTCTATGGCAACAAGTCCAACTAAGTTCATGGTATTTGGTGGAGTCTGTCCAGAAGTGACGTCACCGATTGCTGAAGCAGTGCATTTTTGGAATATACCACAGGTAGGCACTGTAGTAGTAGTAGTTGTAGCAGTAGTAGTAGTAGTAGTAGTAGTAGTAGCAGCAGCAGTAGTAGTAGCAGAGCAGTAGTAGTAGCAGTAGTAGAAGTAGTAGCAGCAGCAGCAGCAGCAGTAGAAGTAGTAGCTGTAGTAGTAAATTCAGCTGCAATAGCAACTCTTGATACTGTTGCTTCAGCTGCTGCCGAAAACATTTCTGTTTTTACTATCGTTTCTAGCTGTAACCTAATCCCGGATGTATTTCTAAGTCATTACTAAATCATTTTTAAAAGGTTTCATTTTCAACTCTAATCCTATCTATAACTGATGTAGTTGGGGGTTTCTCTATACCACATTTATGATCATGTGATTTATCCAGAACTAAGTACGTATTATGAGATGGAAATGTGTACTAATGAGAATATGAAATGAAGTATTAGGGCATAGCTAAGTATGTAGAACAACCGGCAATTAGTTAGATTATTCTGTCCCATTGGGGACAATAAGTTTGACTCATAAAACGCTATTGCACTATGTGAAAATATCGTAAAAATAAAATCGGAGTATTGGCATATCATACATACCAAAAATGAAAAGAGATTGGAAATTTACCAGCAACACAACATCGATGCTCACAGCAGATACATGAAAAATTAATGAACAAAACAATAAAGACAACATTTTTGAATGATACAAAAGTGGTAATGTACCGTACCAGATGCCATAGTAAGTGTCAAAAATATATATTAGTGAGGTAGGAAGGCCATTCTAAGACAGAACATAAAACAGATCATTTTTTCTTTCATTTCACCCACCTATATTTCTTTCTCTTTTTGTTACTTTTCTATTGTTTTTTTTTTCTGCCATCAAAGATATAAAAAAATATATAAAATTAAAACCAATTGCACATACATACACTCATTTCAAATGCTTGCACGTATACATATTTTTTTTTTCTTAGTGTGAACTAAACCTTTTATTTATCTTTCGTGGGAATTTCACTTACCTCTGTTTCTTTCTCTTTTTGTTACTTTTTTCTCTTTTTTTTTTAGGATATTCACCTGCATATGTACACGCACATACATACACGTATCACACTCATCATCAAATACATACACATACATTTTTTAACTCAATTTCGTAGAAATTACACCTTTTTGTTTTCTTAATTATTTGTTTTTCTTTCTCTTATGTACAAAACAAAGAGATACGTATTATATCGATAATATAACTGAAAATGATAACGATATTACAATTTTACCATTTTTAATAGAAGAACATGATGGTACATAGTGCCAAGCATTAGTAATAATGACATCAAGGGAATTATTACCTTAAGTATCTGCTAAAGTTTTTTTCCAGAACATAAGGATTTATAATTCAGTTTATTCAGGTCACCACAGGTGAAGATACCTGCTTGTGGTTTAGTAGTCCTTATGAAACAAATATTGCTGAATTTTGGTGTGTCAAAGCTGGGTCCAGTACTGTAAGCTGTAGCTGAGCTAGGCCAAGTTGATCAGGTATGCTGCAGGCTGGTAGGTAAGATTATCTAAGGTGAACAATTGTTGACTGACAACTCTAAGTGAAAGGTTTTGGTTGGTCATTATTGATATGCATCAATGCCTCTGTTTATTTAAGTTTCTGCTTGTATTTGTTTATTCTAGGTATATATCATTTTCATGACATCTATCTATTTTGCTCGAAGATGGCCATACATTGTGGTGTTATTATAGAATGGCATTGGGAGTTATGGATGTATTACAAAAATCATTCTTATTTCCGCATTATCGAAGACGGCTATGTATAATGCGCTTGTGTGTCTTTATGGTGTATTCTGTTATTTATTTTAAAATTTCCGATGGTTATATTTAGATTTTGTCAAGTCTACTCGAATTATTTTGTTAAACAGATTATTTCAAGTACTCATTGGTCTATTATCGTCTTTTAATGTACAAATTCCAAATCCACATTTCATTAAATTTTTAAATAATAATGTATTTATCAATGAATGTTACAGTATTAGAAATGTCTACTGTTTGAAGATATTTTGCTACTAAAAACTAAGAGGGTAAAATAATGTTTTTTACCCTCTCGTGTAGCACAAGTGGGTTTTGCCATCATATGTAGAACAATTGATGACGTTTCATTTGTTTATAACAGGATTCATTTGGGATTGTTTGTAATTTTAGTATGAGGAGAAAGGTTGGGGAATTAAAATTATGAAGTGTTTTTGGACACGTGATAGGATAACCCATGTAGTTTATGTTTTAGGCCTATTATGGCAATTGTTTATGTATAAACAATTTAATGTAGAGGAAAATTTACTCCATGCTAGGCGTTCAAGTGAAAACAATGTTTATTGCTATTACCTCGAGGAGGTGAAGATAATGAAATAACTGAAATCTCAATTGTGTAGATTAAAGTTAAACAATTTAAGGTTCACATGTCATGCACATCAAGTATTGCCACCTCTAACTGGTTAGGCATACTTTTATAGTTGTCTAAAAGAAACAGTATATGGACGTCTCCATACAGGATCTATGATTGGGAAGAACAAGGTGAAGAAAATAGGACGCTGTAGCAATCGTATTAATCTGTATAAACGACAACTGAGAAACTGAAACCAGAATTATTACATCTATAATTCCAGAGAGACCGTATTTGTTGCGAAAATGTGTGAGGAGACGGGCATAGGAACATTAATGAGCCTATGAATAAAGTGTATTATTGCTTTAAGGTTCTTACGTTGGGTTGTTGCAGATAGGTATATTATTAAACCATCGCATCTGAAGTTATTAGTGTTCGCCTTTATAGATCATCGGGGGATCATTATATGAGGAAGTAGATGGTCATTATTCCCAGAACACGACTCGCTAGAGAGCGCTCTTTAGAATCTTGCATAATACTATGATCAAGATTTTTTTAAGATTTGCCGGGCGAGTTTGGTTTGATTTGAACCTATAAGCATTATATGTTTGATATCGACAACATACGGTTGCCCACAGCATATAGACCTACATTGAATGTGGTTTTGATAAAATATCGAGAAATAAGCTTACGTGCTATGTTGATTAAACTTGACAAAATTTTGTCTTTAGTACTTTTAATTTTGATGGTTTTGCCCTTTATTATTATTATTATTATTATTATTATTATTATTATTATTATTATTAATAGGCTTAAATATGATTATATATATATATTGTTTTTTCAATGTTTTGTTATCATCATCGCCAATACATTGTAAGGGCTATAACTGACTGTACGGCAGATTTTTTTAGGATGACACTTATTCAAGAACAATTCCACAGATATCCATTGTTGTTCTGCTCCATTATGTGATACACATATGTGAATAATAACTTACACTAATAGTGTTCTTAATTTATTTTTATTATTAAGCTACTTGTAAATGCCAATCAATCTAATCGTCAGACACTATGATTCATCATGTTATATTGAAATGTCAAGTGCAAACTGTATTTAAAGTAAATGAAAATAGTAATTCGCCACATCATCTGTGAACGTGCAATGTATATGTACACGTGGGCACACACGGAGGCAAAGATTATCAGCAGGCATCCGTTTAAAGGAAAATTTCGTATCAGAGAAAGCTTTCAACGTGTGGGCTTTCTGTACGCATTCGATTGTGTGCATGCCTCATGTTCTGAACAGTTTATATCGATTTTATTTTGTGTCAGTAACGTGTAGGGAGACTATTAAACGAATTAGAATTGCAGAATTATGTTTAAATGTACTATTGGTTACAGTAGCGCCAGATTGATTTCTCTTAAGCATGCATCAAACAACGTAGTGGCAATGATTAAAATATGCACATAAAATCAATCCACGTTTTTTATTCTAAACATAATCTTGAGGAAAATAGAATGAAAGAACGAGATATGCAAAAGCAAGCCCTCAAGTTATAATCGTAGACTTTTTTCAATTATAATATAGAAAACATAACTACTACTTTACCAAACATTATATGTTTATTTGAGTGAGTGAGATTACATTCTGCGCCGATGTAGGCCCTATCCAATAATGTACGTTTAATACCATGTGCATCAGCCTGTAAAAGTTTTTGTATTTACAGTAACATTTGCTTTATCTCCTAAGTGAGACATATTTTCACTTAAGTGTCTGATGAATTAGATCAAACTAAACCATTTTATTTGTTTAAACATTAACACCGAATATCATCGAGCGTGTGAATTCGATAATCCCTTGAGCAGAAGTACCATTCTTATCGCCTGCTTTATATACCCGCGTGATAACACGTAATTCAGTAAAGTAATGAAAAACTGAATTTCAAATACTTACACTACAATTTTAAATTATCTTCCAGTATTTTTATATTTTGACTATAAAACGATGTATTGAAGCACGCAATAATATATAATCGATTAAAAGGTAATTAAGCAATTCTGTCAAATGTTACAAAAAGCACATCAAGTTGCTCGTAACGAAAATGTCAATAGTATTTGGTTAGCAGGCACGAAGCATTAAGATGTATTGATTGAAAATTTGAATACTTTCGTCGTTAGTCCAATCATTGTGTTATTTTGTTTATCCATGTTACTGATATTACTTTTCATTTCCTTTTTTATTTGATACTGCAGCGATAAATACTACTACCACTGCTACTACTGTTACGATGTTGCTGCCCGACCTTACTGATACCTACTAATAATTTACAATTTTACAATTTGTAAAATTTGAACTAAATGTTTATTACAATAATATAATATTAAACATCTCGAATAAGTTATGTAACAGTTTTGTTGTATTTATCTAGCTTTCCTTTGCAGATACGACGCCATTTTTATCACAGCAGGACAAGTACCCGTACTTCTACCGGACCGTGCCCTCTGAGAGTGCTGACAATGTGGCAAGAATTAGACTAATTAAGTATTTAAACTGGACATCAATTGGTACCATACATCAAGACGTGTCGAGGTTCTCTTACGTAAGTATACGAGAGAAGAGAGGGGAATTAGTTATACTTCCATATATACATATGTTTCTGTATTGTGTAATTTTATGATATTTGCAAATAAAGAATACTGAACTGAACTAAACAATATGCGCTGGTTCGAGTTGTAAGCACCAATGTTTATATAAAACAAAATAACTTGTTTCTATATTTGATATTTCTGTAACGACTAAAATATCTTTCGTTCACACAGTGGACTTCATCAAGAGACTGTGACTGGTTGATTAAATTCCGTTATTAAGTTCCTCATGAAGTATGAGGTCCACTGTGTGGACGAAAGCTAGAGCTAATAAATGTTGCAGTTATACAGTGCTGCGATTTGTAATGTCTGATATTGTTTTATAGCAGACTAACTCGGATAAACCTTTTATTCATCATTTATATTTGATATGTAGTTTTGATTATTCAATTTGGGACTCTACTGTTTTTCTAAAAAAAAGCCCTTTATGTATGAGCATTGGGATGAGGCTTAGGAATATGATTGTTTTCGGTTGTTAAATGTAAATGTTAACGTTTAAAAGGTCAAATGCAGCACATGTATTTGACTGAACATTTATACTGCTGAGCCACAGTTTCTCATATGCACTGGAATACTGGTAATTGGATTTATCATTCACGTACAGTATACGCAATTCGATTGAGAATTATGACTTGATTTTAAGTTGTTGTTGTGCACGTACGTAAAATCATGATTTATGTGGTTCGTCAATATTGCTAAACGTATGTAAACACCTAAAGGAATTTAGTCAATCAATTAAGGTGACTAATAAACCATAATGCATCATTAATGATCGTAGATTATATATTAATATTAGAAATTAAGTCAATCATCTTTTATTATAGAGACAGTTGTAGATTTTATAGAAATACTATTATGAAAGCGAAGCTGAAGTATTATTGATACAATTTTATCGAAGTGGAGTCGTCGGACCTATGCCAACGTTGAATAACGCAGTACATTTTCAGAAGAGAGTAATACAAATGTATCTCTGTGTACAGCCAATTTCTATCACCAGAAGGAACCCACTGGATATGAGTCTTCGAACTTCCCTTGTGTTCACACCTGGAGTCCTAATGAGGTCGGCTTTACCCACCAGGATCAGGACCAGAATAAACGCAATCTAATCCAATATTCTCGCTTGTGGTATATTTAGGTACTTTCTTTCATTTGAAAAATTGAAAGCAATGTTCTTTTTTTCTCTTTTGTAATATAAAAAATGGAACTGTCACCAGATGAAGACCTTCCACCTGGAGCTGACAATAACCTGGCGACATGGAAGTGTGTTAATAGACTTATAACTGGGGTAGGCCTTTCCAAAATCACGTTACAGAAGTGGGGATATTCCAACAACCCTGTCATTTATGAATGTGGAACTGAGTCTCAGACCATGCAACACCTCCTGCAGTGCTGTATGTTAGATGAACCCAGCACCAATACAGACCTTGAAACATCCAATAAAAAGGCAAAGGAGTGTGTCCAGCTATGGCTGGGCAAAATTCGAAGTGCATTGACTTGATAAGAGGTTAAATTTATTTAATATTTTACGGATTTTGTAGTGCATATTGTAAATTAAGTTTAAAATTAATCTGTTTAAATAATGAGAGAAATCAATATTTCAACAATTTTATTTCTGTTATATTTCAGTTGGATGATTGAATGCTTTATTCAGGTTTATCTCAAGAAGGTATTAGTTATGCAATCTGCTAATCTTATCGATTATAGTTTACTTGCAAAATTGGAACTGCCGCATTTGAATTAAGTACACCTTAATGAAAGAAATATATAAATAGATAGTAATAAATGAAATCAATGAAATACTAATCGGATTAATACGGTACTTATAATGATAAAGTGAGTTCGCTGTGTAGACGATGAAAAGTAGGGCAAAGTTGACAGTGATAATGAATATTGTTCATTTAGACACATACTTTCGTTATTCGATATTCCCGAAGAAGATAACAATTGTAAAGAAAGTATTTTTGGAAAGGCTGGTGAAATGTCATTTCAGAAAATGGATGAAGCGATCTGGGTGATTAACGTTGATTGGAAACTAGCCTAATGGTCCCACTTTCAGGAGAAGCCAACTGACAGAGCTTAGACTAGTCCGGTTGTATTTACGCCTGTTTTCTGTGCTATCTGTTCCCACCTCGCTCTAATGCAATTGGCACTTGATATAACAAACTTAGTCTAATGTAGACAAATGCTCTCGCGGGATTATTAAAACTAAATAAACCGGAAGCCTATATCAACATTTGTCACATTTTATATAGCTCAATCATACCATTGGATATTGGATATGTTTTCTCTTGTGCATTTGAGCTTAAAAGCTAACACTAGGAGTAGGTTAGCTATTGCGATTAGTCAATACGCTTAGAAGACGTATTAATATCATTCTTACTATTGAACAATAAGAGCATTCTTTTCAAAAACCTTTTAATTATAATCATCGTCTTCATCGTTGTCACCATTATCATCATAATCATGACATGAAAAATATACATTCTCAATGTACAGATAAAACCTCTAAGATTTTTTTTATTATATCAAAGAAACTAAGAGCCATTTTCTAACTATTTTTTCTTTAATTGCACTTCATTTCATTCGCAAAAAAAAAAAAAAAATTTATTTATCCTAAAATGTAGCTCCCTGTGAAAAATGTAATAGGCCTATATTGTATAAGTTACTTTCTTTACAAAAACACATAGACTTTATGATTCAGTATTATTCCATTTTCTATATTGTAGTCCGTCCTCTAAACTATGTTTCGAGGTTTTCTTTATGCGTTAATGTTCAGCAAACAATGATTGATGTTCACTATCTCATCACTATAATAACCTTCGAAATTGGCATTAAGCTTTCGCTCGATCATATCGAGTTGTATTTATGTGAGACCATGCGTGCATGACTTGATGTAATCTTTTAAAAACAAAACACTTTTTCTACTTAGAGGTTTCAATGGACAGTCGTTCCATGTTTTACGCAATAGTCACTCGTACGTAACGTGTTAATGTTTAGCGAACGCTCCACATTAATGTCACTGTCAGATTAATTTGTTTATGTTATTTTATATATCTTGATGACATTATGGAATTGAATTAAATCACAAGCTAAGGCTTGTCAAGATGATGAAATGCTCCCATCAGCAACATCAGCAATGCCAGCAACATCATCTCCATCATCATCAACATCATCATTATCTTCATCATCTTTGTTATTTTCAACATTATCATATCCATAATCCTCCAAAAAATACATGTTAAACAGAATTATAAAACAATATTATGTTCATGAATTCCTAATATTGAAACACGTTCTATTGATCGTCTATCAGTTTATCACCGTCTTTAAAACTCTTTATTATTTTATCCCCTCATTAAGTATAAATGTTTTTTTCCAGGTAAACGTATTATTCGACAACATACTATGAAATATTTATTAGAGGTAATAGGCAACTTTAGTATTAGAGAGAAACGGAGCAGATAGAAAAAATACCGTATTACTCTTCAGATCTACGTTTCATACTAATTTATTATTAATGAATATATTTATACATATTTTATATTTCTCAAAGAAGAGTCAAACAGTAATTTAGTTACGTTTTTGAAAATTCTTGGCCTTTTGTAAATTGTTAATATTGTGTTTTTTTTGTTTTTGTTTTTTTTTTTTTTGTAATTAAATTAGGCCTATGTCGAAATTTATTAAATCACTCTAATTAAATGTAAAGAACTTAAAGTTCTTGACAAAGACGTTAATATGTCTGTGTTGGTATGTTTATGATGAGGGGAAAATGTTGCGCACTGTGTTACCGGCAGTGCTTTGGAAAATGTACGTAGTTCGAGATATCGGAGATGTTACCATTACCAAAGCGTTGTAACTACAGCATCACGATATAGTTATACTGCTCCTAAACCGAATGAGCTTAGTTCACTGTCGAAATTATACATAATCATAATGCGTATTCATACCTGGATACAGATTAAGCTAAACTGTAAAATAACGGAATTATTTTCATTTTTACAGGCACAAGACCAGCTTGATAAAGAGGCCGAGCTAAATGGTGTGAATATTTCAGTCAGTTTGAGTTTTTCAGACGATCCGAGTTCCGCCATTATGGAACTTAAGGTAATTGTAGATGACCCTGTTTAGTATTTTCCCTCTTATTTTCACTCTTCAGCGCCGCAATTTACAGCGGTGAGAGCAATCTCACCCAAACGTCGAGACAACAAACCAGTGGCTTTACCTCAAGAATCATATTTTAAAAATGGTGTACAGAATGTTTTAGGATTTTGGTAATGTTATTATGATGCTACTGCAATTAACTACGCTAGTCATGCACCACGTAATTCACAATTCTGAACAAAACAATGCGAGAAAGGCATATGGGTAATATTCTCATACAGTTTTTTTTGTACATTATCTTTCCCCAGGCTCTCAAATATATTCACTTATTACATCAGAATGATGCCATATTTACAATCGGTGAAGCTATTCTATTTTAAGATGCTCATAACTCAGAAAAATAAAATGCAGGCCCAAAGAAATGTAAACATTAAATAAAACAGAATAACTTAGAATCACATTTAAACACAAATTAAACCAACAGCTCAGAGGCTATAAAATATATAATTGCCCAGAAATATAAAAACCATAAATTGCATGAACACATGACAGACGTGGCAAGACCCAAAAACAGCATGATAAGGGGGAATCAGATACAATGTGGTCGATATTTAAAGATGGCGACTTCAAACCTGGAAAAATACGTTTTTACACCTTTTTTAGAGTCAGCAATAGAAGAAATGCATTCATCTTTCTAATATTCCGAAGGTTTTCAAAAATACAGACTAATAAAAATAAAGAACACCGGAAAACTAAAAATGACATTAACCAAAAAAAAAAAAGTGGGGGGGGGGGGGAAGATCAAGATATTTTTTAGGTAAAAAAATAAAGAAATACATAGATCATGATTCTTAAAGGGACAGTCAGAAAATCAATATCCATAGTGCACATACGCAGATAGATTTGTAACTAAGTATATATCTTGAACTGACCAAGATGAATGACGGATGGACTAAGCGCTATTAATATGATCGCTCCAAATTACTATCGATATTTCAAACTCGCATAGGTCAGCCCTTGTCGCCTAATCCAATAAGGACAAACTAAGTACCTATCTTATTTCATCTCAGCGAATTCACCTGACTGTAGGGCCTTCCATCAAGCCGAGGATTATGGCATACGGTATTCAACGTTTTTTTATAACTTATACTATCTTCACCATTAATCATTATTTGCACGAAGATACGATTAGAGGAATTTTTCAGATTCAATATTTTGGCTTATTAGACTAATAAAAAACATATTCCTTGCTAAGGTATTTTTAAAGGAGAAGGGAGATGAGGCCAATCCCTCCCTTGTTTTCAACAAAATTCAACATCTTTCCTCTCCTCTTCACGCCACATACACGAAGTGGTGGCATGTAGGACATTGCAGACTACATGCATGTATATACTAATTTCTTTCTTTTGGACATAAGTAGAAAAATAGGAAATATAAATCAAAGCGTCCATAATATTATACCAGAGAGATACAGTAGTCAACGAGAATTTTGTTTTATTTTTGATTTGATCTAATCGGCGAGGCATTTAATTGGCCCTTTCGTAAACCCGCCGTGCCAGCCCTGAGCCTAGGCATCCTTAGGGCCTATGAACAAAAATGTTGCTATGCTAGCCTAAGCCTTTTATTTATTTGAATTTTTAAGAGCTGCATGGTTCCTGTAGTACTAGCCTGAGTAAACCTAGGCTAGGCTAGTTCCCCCTAGGCCCACTATAGCTGCCAATATCAGTGGGCCTATAGTCGTGCGTGTCGTGAGTTTTTCATTATCTCTTTTAAATTTTTATTTTCCTGTTGTAAAATATCAAGACAATATCGGTTTTCGCCTTCTTCTATAGAACTCTTTTCACAAACTCAATCGCGTTTACAACGACTCAAAATTATATCACATGCATATAAACTGC